TTTGTATCTAGGCATTGTATCATAAATAAATAAACATATCTTTGCCCTAAAGTAAACTATGTCTCTATGCTTCTAATGAATATACCGAACTGCTCTAGTAAAGAAACATTCAACTTCCACACTGCTTTATATCTTGCCCTGTCATATTAGAGATCCCTGTCGCTATGTGCTATATTGCAGGTGGTAAATTAAGAAGGCTACCCCACTTGTAACATTTTGGTACCTTCTGGCGGAAATATAAAAAGTCTCTCACAGAATACTAAAAGGTCTCACTAAAAATTCTAAAAGTCTCCACCAAAAATCTAAAAAGCCTTCTCTGAAATTATAGAAAATCTTTCAAGAAGCTTAAAAATATTGGACCTATTAACTTGGATATCCTCCCCTATTACTAAAAATTACTTTATTTATTTGTGAACACCTATTACTAAAAGAGTAATAGTGCACTTGGAAGTCCTGTCAAGTTGAAAGAGACTTGTACAAAAGGGCACACTTGAAGCCTCTGCTTTCGTAGCACCTAAAAAGTCCTGTCAAGTTGAAAAAGACTTGTACAGAAGGGCCACTTGAAGCCTCTGCTTTCGTAGCAACCAGAGCTCGCAGCTTACTGCAAACCTTAACCAAAAGTGTTAAGTGCGGATTACCCACAAGCCAAAGTGTAGGCGTAAGTAATCCCAACCCTGTAAATATAAACTCAGAAAATTTTATGTCTCGGAAGTCTATACGATACTATCGAAGCTATGAAGATTCCATCACTTCAAAAGTATTTAAATCTGGCACCTGCCCAAATCTTCGAAATGAAGTGCCATATCACATGACCAAAACTTATGCCAATTTTTAGTTCTTAGCATATATACATATACAACAATTTATAAATTGCTATAGCAAAAAAAAAACAACTCATTTATTTATTTCATTTGTTTAATTATGTAATTCAATGCACATACATGATATCTTAAACTCAATTCTAAATCCTCATTCCAAACTACTCAATATTCATTCTATCTAATTCAAAACCCAACCTTATTTCTAATATAAACCCAAATTTATTCTATTTATCCTTCCTATTCCTTTTATTCTAAATCCAATTTGCTTCATCTATCCTTACCATTAAACCCGAAGAAACTAAAAGTTATATGTTCTGACAATAATTGGGAGACGTCCCAAATATTTTTAGTACTGTAACTTTAATTTCATCCTACCTAACCCTAGCCCGACTTATGTTATCTAAATCTATTTCTAACTATAAACTATTATATTTCCTTATCCCTAATTTAACTTATTTTATCTATCTCTACCCTTAAAACCCGATCCTGTTTCCCTAACATTGAACTATCCCTAACCTAACTCATTCAATCCACACTAAACCCCAAACCCCTCTTTTCCAATTTAATATGCTTTATCTAACCCATTCTATTTATTTTAATCCACCCGTTTAATCTCTTTTCCTAAATTCGAATTTAAAATTTTCCTTATTCTTAACTTTTACTCTAATCCCAAATTAACTTCATTCTATTATTCCTAAACCCATTCAATCTGTTTCAAATTCAAACTCTTAAATATTTCTAACTACAAACCCAGCCTATTTAATTCTTTTTCCTTAAAATCAAAACCCCTAATCTACTAGCAAAATCAAATTTCAAGCCATTCGATAAAGACCTACCTACCCAGACATCTTAGGAACAATGATCAAAGTTTAGAGGTTCTAACTAGAGAACTCTAGATGATCTCCTAAAGCTCTTAGTTCTTTGTATCATTCCTTCTCAGAAACAAGAAGTTTTCACCACATCTTATCAACTAGCCAACTATTGCTTCATCTATATTCAATCAATAAAGGAAAGCTTTACGTTAATAATTCAAGAAAAGAAAATTGGCCATTAAAATAGAATTTGAAAAAAAAGCAAAAACAACAAAACAAACAACTAATTAAAAGGATACATCATTTTTATAAGCCACATCTCATATTTTGGCTTATAATCTAAAACCAGGTCCCAACTTATCATATTTTCATCAATCCTCTTATATTATATTAAGCGTTAAAAGACCCAGTCCTATTATATATATATGCCTATATACCTAATCATTAAAAGAAAGGACCTAGTGACGTATTTGAAATTGATATTTAGTGATGTTTAAATACTCAAAAAAAAAGCAAATAAACTAAACCAAATTTGGAAAACAGCAAATTATAAACAGACATATACTTGTACAAGTTCTAGAACTCTAATCAAGACCATACTAGAAAACCTTGTAACAAGATTTTGTCAAATTAAAAAAAAAAATGAAATCAAAAAAAAAAAGAGCCTATTACTAAAATAAAGTGAACAAAGACTTGAAAAAAAAAAATAAAAAAAAATAAGCTTATATTTATCTCAGAAGTTTACCACACCTGGTTATCTCAAAAGTCTTTAATTATCAAGCCCTTGGAGACCCATTCGAGTGAAGTTGGAAAAGCCCAACAAAATTCTGTAGAATTGAAACAACGATGAAGTAGACAATTTGACACGATAACTAATCAAAAAATATATATATATATAAAGCAGCAAATACATGAAACCTCAACAAAAACAAGACCAACATTTAAAGTGACACCTACCTACAACGATGACTCAAGAGCAAAACCAAGATTTCAAAACAACAACGATTTTTGAAAACTACAAATAATGAAATCGAACGATGACGGTTTTAAAAATGATATTCATATTACTGAAAATAACAGAAAGACAATAATTAGGCATAACCTACTAAATATAATACAATCTATTCAAAAAAAAGTATTAGTAAACTACCGGCAAGAAAACTATTTCAAGAAAAAGAAAAAGCTAGTATAGAAATACTGAAACCATGACAATTCTAAGAATAAACGACGACTCCAACGACATGACGAATGACAATTCCTGAAAGGACAACAACTCCAAAATGATGATGGTTCTAAAGATAAACTAAAGAAAAGAACTTAAAACAAAAAAAATAGAAAATGAAGACAAAGACTAAATATATATCCCTAAGGTTTCAAGATATTGTACGAACACCAAAGCCACCGAAGATCTATTCTAAAATCCAAGCAAAGATCTAGAAATGATTTAGGAATAGCAAATCTTAAATCTCGCCTAGTACGAAGCCGGAAAAGCTAAGACAACAAATAAAGAAAAACCGGAAAGACAAAACCAAGCCTAGATCAGGCTCAGAACACTTACTAAGACTGATTCTTTGACATGTTCGAAGGAAAAGCGATTCAAGACAGATTTGTCTTGATGACCCTTAGAGAAATCCAACCTTGAAATAAAACAAGACTAAAGAGTATATATCTTCGAAATGAAGAAATCCCGAAGTAAATGTAAAAGACCTAAAAGTGTTAAAGAAAAAATGGAAGAGTAAGAAAACTGAAATTAGTAGATGATCGGTTAATATATTTATAGACATTAATCACATGATTTATGTCACGAATGCTAAAATGACCGAAACTAACCCAGAAGCCTAAGAAACTCTAATCTAAGACAAAGAAAAGACTATTACTTAAGTAATAGCCAAAGCCAAAAGACCTAATACAAGGAAAGAGAAAAAGAATTAGAAAAATACGAATTTTCAAAGAAAATTTTAAAAGAAGATGAAAAACTCGAAAAAGCAAAATTTTTATTTTTATTTACAAAAGAAAAATCTTAAGAAAATAGAAAAAGACAATAAAAAGAGAAACTATTCTATATACAAAAACACCCCAACCTCTTCTCTCTCTCTCATTTTTTTTCCTCCACCCTTCTTCTTTCATTATCATCTCCTTCTCTTCTTCTTCTTTCTTCTTCTCCGAACCGACAAAGAAAATCTCGGTAAGCAGCATCACACTCCTCGAACCAAGTCTGATACCTATCTCATTCTTCAATAAGAGCTTCTCGCTCCTGCTCCCGATGAACGAATTGTTGCAAATAATTGAGAGCTATATGATTAAGCTCTGCAATTGTTGCAGCCTGGTCTTCTACTTGTTGCTGCAACCACCTATAATATAATATTATAATTAATAGATAATTAATTATTTAATTATTATTAAGTATTTTCTTCTTTACATATATACTTACAGAACATTATTATTATTATTATTATTATTATTATAATAATAGTAATGATGATTATTATTATTATTTTCATCATCATCACTGCTACTATCAAATTCGTATTGAAAAAAATTTTGAGACATGTTTGTCGAAATTAATTGAAATATATAGAAACAGTATAGAAAATATGGTTTATTTATAATAGATTATTGAATACAAGAACAGGTTAAACAATTTTATTAAATTATCTATACGAACTAACAATGATCAAATTTTAAACAATATTACTTTAGTAACAATATTACTTTAGTAATAGACTCAAAAATATCAAAACAGCAATAGACAAAAACTATACATTTTATTTAGTTATTTTTATTAGAGCAATTATATTAGACAATTTTATTAGATTTAGATATTTTAGTTTTAAAAATTTATTAGACTTAGATATTTGATCGTTTAAAGCTCAAAACTTTTATTAACAAAAATTTAGAAATTTTAAAAGTATTTATTAAAAATATAAAACAAAATATAATACAAGAAGAAAATAAAAACTGGAATAACTACAAACTCCACCCAAGAAAAACCATGACCATTCTCTACAATACTCTGCAACGCCAAAATTTGCATTTCCAAATCATCATTTATTGTCTCCAAGTTTGTAGCCCAAACTCTTAATCTATTTCTTTCTAACCGCAACCTCTCCAACCGAACGTTATTTTCATAATTCTGCTGAACTAGTTCAACTAGATCACGCTCTTGTAGCTGTGTCTGAAGGTTCACCACTTGATTCTGCAACTCTTGGATAATAGCTAGAATGGACTGACTTCTAGTTGTTTGTAGCATCTAAGTTTTGACAAAAGTGTCGTTAGAAAAAGAATGCTTTTTCTAAGATAAATATACTTAAAAACAAAAGTATAAAAAGAAAGCAAAAAGGAAACGATAAAGAGAAAAATATCTACCGGGGCCATGTAGTTAATTATACAAGTCATGAAAAAAAATCAATTGTCCAAGTATGAAGGACTGTCAGCTCACCCAGACATGGAAGACTGGCAGTTGCCCCAAAAGTGTAAAGCTAACGAGGTTTAGCACACGGTCCGAAAAGTATACCCACCTTCAACAAAGAAAAACAAACAAGACAAGAGAAGTTATCAAGAAACTAAAGAAGAAAAGAGAAGAGTATTAAACAAGAAAGTTTCTAATATAAAGAAATTATAGAAAGGAAAGTATCAAGAAAAAAGTTTGCATGTGAAATTTTTGAAAAACAAAATACACTGAAAAACAAGAATATAAATGAAAATTACAACAATAGTTAAATTTTTTCATGCCAAGAAAAACTATCGCATGGTATAAACAAAGAAAATTATAAACAATAATGATGTGATTTATAAATTTAGAAAAGGATGAACAATTTAGAATGCAAAGCTAATTTTAGCACAAAGAATTGTATGAAGTTTGAAAACCTCCTAATTTTTAAGAAAGAAACAGACAAAGAAACTAATGAAGCACATAGTTCTAGCATGTAGAAATTTGACAAAGAAAACTGTATCTACTAAATTAGTATCACTATAATTATTTATCTCTTTTAGAATGAAGCTTCAAAAGAAAAACATTAACAAAAATAAAAATAATATATTTTATAATATATTGTCTATTTTAAATCAACAATAACCAAAACATGTGATTAACACCTGACAACTTTATGGACAATTACAAAAAAAATACTTGAAAGAATACTAAAAAAATCTCTAAAGAAACAGAAAATTCAATTCAATTCCAAGATATAGCAAGAAGAAATACTATAACAGTAACCAACTTGGCAAATACTATGGAAAACTTCTACTATTATTCTTGAAAATTAGAATTTTCAGAGAAAATTCTTAAAAGCGATAGAAAACACAAGACAATTTTTAATTTTTAATTATATATTGCATGCTATATTATCTATTTTAGAGTAACCGTAATTAACACATGATTATTACTCTATTAATATTCAAAAGGAGTAGCTAGAAAAATTTTAGTATCATTTGAACTATGGATAAACGGTCACAGCGGAGGGCTGTCATTATGCAGACCCAGGTTCGAGACTGGCTAAAGGAGCTGCCTGCTAGATACCAAGTTCAGTATGACTCTTAGTTGAAGTATTCAAATGATTGATTTTTTTTGTTTCATTTTATTTTTATTATTATTATTTTTTTTTATTGTTATTATTATTATTATTATTATTATTATTATTATTATTTTAAGCAGTCTTGTCTTTATTTATTTGAACCACTATTTAACTATTATACATGTATAATTGACTATATAGTGTAAT